AAAAGCACCGTCGCGGAGGTTGATTGGACCCTTTCATAAAATGTTGTTTAATAAAAATAATAAGTTAATTTTATTAATTAGATTAAAAAATCGCCACGGCAGGCAAATATATAATAATCGTCCTAACAAACAGTATACGTAGACACTTCCTACATTCAAATGACATTTGATTTGATTATAAAATGACATTTGATTTAATCATCAATATTAATTATTGGTAATATTAAATGTGATTTCGGATAAAATTTAATATGCACCTCGGCATTAAAGTCAGTTTTTATCACTCACGTAGTTATTTGCCTCGGCTATCGCCTCGGCAAATAATTTCCACATTCGTGATAAAAAATACGACTTTACTGCCTTGATACATAAATAACTATTATGCAAATATGTCAGTATTGCATCCGTCAGGAACAAACTTTTTTTGCTACTAATGGCGTCATCTCTTGGATTTTGAAGAAAACCAATGATATTTTTAACTTATATCCAACATATGAAATATAAAAAAATTAAATAATAAATGTTATTCCACGGTGGTTTAGCGTTTAAGCGTTCAATTTATTATTTTTATGATATATTTGTACAAGCATGAATAAATGCATTTTATTTTCTTATTATGCATCTACAATTTGTAAATGTCATTTGGGGAATTTGTTTCTTAAAATAATAAAACTAGATTTTTATGTTAATAAACTCATTCTGATATATCTTTCATAAATTTACTTTAATTTAAAAAAAAGTTAACTCTAAATATAGATTTATCAATTGCCTCATTAAAAACCTCTTATAATTAACGCCCTTAAAATTTGAAAGATAATGAAGGGGATATTCCAAATCAATGAGTAAAGCCTTTTAATCGGGAAATTATAAAGTATCTTGGCAAGCTAAAAGTAGGTATATGATTTAACCTTTTGATTTTCCATTTTATCACGTTTGGTTTTTTTCCTTTTCGTGATAGAACACGAATAGAAAATTTAAAATAAACATTACACAAAGCTTTGAAAAAGGATTTTTTTAATTTTTCCTTGATGATATTTGTGTTTCAAACAAAACCTATTAACCAAGTATTAACAGAAGCCAATTAAGAAAATTAGGAACAGAACTGTCTTACAATATCCAGTAAATAAAATAAAAAAGTAAATAAACTTATTTTTACACTTTTCATTGAAACATTGGTTAAAGCTTACGTTTTAAAGTCACTTTTGTGATTTATATAAAACCAATTAACAAAGAATAAACAATCCAGAAGGAAGATTAAAGTATCCGAAACAATAAATGAAACTCTGTCGTTATTAGCGGTAAATGAGAGTTTATTTTGCGAAATGAAATCCAGTCAATTCGTAAGTTTCGAAGCTCCAAATCGTAATTACTTTGTCAGTCGAAAGAAACATGAAATCGTTCAGGTAACCTGCACCTTTGAGCTTTAATCGATCGTTACCAGCCAGCAAAAAAGTGGAACAAGTTTTTACTTCAACGATTTTGTTGTCCGGTCAGGAATTAAGCTGCTGAGTTTTAGGAAAAGTGGTTGCTGACCCAAGGAAATTAGCTACGGTTAATAACATTCCTAGAACGACCATCTAACGGATCCTTGAATCTCATAAATTTCGTATTTACAAGATTCATTTAGTCCATGAATTTAATGAGGACGTTTTTGACCAGTGACTGAAGTTTTACGAAACTATGGCTGGACAAATAGCTTATAACGACAATTCTTGCTTTTCAACATCTGTGTTTCAGACCATTCAATGTTCCATTAAGTTGAAGCACCTCCACATTATGCACTATTCCTGGACAATGGATTGGCCGGCTAGATTTACAGATTTGAGTTTAAAATATTAGAAGGCGTTTTGAATAAAATTTGTATTTTTGGAAGTTGTTGGCAGAGATTTTGAGCACTTTGTTCTACTTACTATTCTTATTCTCAAGTTTCGTATCTATAATTTTTATTATAGAAATAAATAACATATGCTTAAACTTTGTTGAATCAAACTTGCAATGTTTCCCCTTATGACACAATCTATTTTGAAATTTAGTACAATTTTGGCATGTAAATAGACCTTAAAATAATACGCTGTTTTTAGCAAGATAAGGTTGCTTTGGCAAAGATAATGAAGCATTCTTATTTTGGCGTGGTTTATCACCCAGACAAAATTACTAAAAAATTTCTCACTTCTGAGGCCTACAAAAAAGCAGTGTTTACAAATATAAACAGCGATTGGTTTAGTTACAATAACATAAGGAATGAACTTACTACTTTATTAAGAATAGAAAAACAAAAGTATTTACATAATATTATCAACACAAAAGAAAAAACTGAAATTTGGAAAAAACTAATAATTGTATTGAATTTAATAAAATAAAAATAAAACATAATTTTGAAATTTCAACAAATTTTAATATATTCTTTATAAAGATAGTATAAATAAAATTATTAATAATATAAATCAGTTTTATAACTGGGATTATTATTTGAAAACATAGAAGCGCATACTAAACTGAACAAATATAAAACTTTTAATATACAAGAGCTTAATAAGGTCGTTATTGGAATGCGAAATGAAAATGGATCTGAAGATGTTAAATGGATGAAAGATATTAAAGGACTCCATTGAAGAAGTTGCAAATAGATATTTGGATGTGATCAACACCTCTTTAGAAAAAGGAGTATTTCCCGATATTTGGAAGAATTCAATAATTGTGCCAGTGCCAAAGATTAATAACACAATTTTAAGTGAAGAATATAGACCTATAAATGTTTTACCACCTTATGAGAAAATTATTGAAACTATAGTTAAAAATCAACTTGTGCAATATTTTCAGGTTTTCGAGAAAAACATTCATGTGAATCGGTAATTTTGTGTATATGTGATAACTGGTTAAAAACTATAGATAACAATAATATTATTATTGAAGTTTTCCTTGATTTTAAAAGAGCCTTTGTAACTGTAAATAGGTTATTATTAATAAAAAAGTTGGAAAAATTAGGTATAGGGGATAAGGCTTTAAGTTGGATGATTTCTTACCTTACAGAAAGATATCAAAAAGTCAAATTTAATAATACGTTTTTTAGTCAATTACCAACCTGTCATGGAGTCCCACAAGGAACAGTATTAGGTCCTTTACTTTTTATATTGTATATAAATGACAAAATATATTAAACATTGCCAAGTTAAACTTTTTACTGATGATACAATGATTTATATATATAGTACAAATATTAAGGAAATATGTGATAAACTAAATTGTGATCTTGATATATTTTATTTTTATTTTTAAATGGCTCTAAATATAACTTAACTAAAGTTAGTGATTTAACCATAAAAATTGACTTTGATGTTTTGGATAGGGTAAATAAAATTAACAACTAAATTTTTATGATCATGCTAATTATATTAGAAATAAAATATCAAAAAACTCTATTTTTTAAGAATAATGTTTATATTTAAAAACCTAGGTTTTTAAATTTTCAAAATCATATGCTGTTATACATTAATTTCACCATATTTTGATTACTGTTCTACAATTTTTTATAGATTGCCCGAAAATCAAATCCAAAAATTTCAAGTTTTACAAAAAAAATATATGAGGTTAATTTTAAAATGTAATAAATATACACCTAATGTTAGAAGTGTTAAATCCATTAAGTATTAAACAGATAATATATTTTAGGATAATGGACTATATATATAAAAATAAAAAACGGAAAAGTGCCAAAATATATATGGGACAAGTTACAATATTTTAATTCCATACATGCTTATCATACTAGAAATACAAATGATTTTTATAAAGAAACTAGAAGTGCTTAATGTATGAACAATGTTTTTTAAAATGGCCTTATTATGTTTAATAATTTACCAACAGAAACTAAAAATTGTGATAATTATAATAACTTTAAGAAATTACTATTAACATATATTGAACAAAACGTGTATAAGTAATGAATTTATTTATGTAAGAAACTCTAATAACTTTAGCTAAATAAACGTTTATTTATTTATTTATTATAACTTCTAAGTATAGGGTTTCAAATACGGTTGAACTTAATTTAGCGAATAAATTACTGCATCGTTATATTATATTTTCTGTATAAGTTAAGTAAATCTCAGTATGGTATATTGTGTGGTTCTCAGTATATACACGGTATCATACATTTTATAACCACCTACACAATCTAAAATATACCTAGGGGAGCTTTAACAAGATCTGGGTTAACCACAACATATACTCCTAGTATATATTTTACATGTTAAACTACTGATTTTGTTTGATAAAACTTTACATGGGAAAACTTATTCATGCACAATTATAATCTGATAATTGGTTTTTGAATTATCTCCACTCTTTAGGGGACCCCTATGAAAGTAAATTTACAACATTTGCCTTTTGGACAGGTAAATTTGGTACACAACACGAGCACCAAACAAGTCGAACTTTTCATACATAATGAAATTGGGGTATCGATTTTATTGCCCTAAAAATATTCTTTCAGGATTTCCAATGTGTTTACTTTGACATTTTATAGTTCTTTGGGTTTGAATGTATTCTATATAAAGGAATCAATAGATAATTTGTACAATGCATAGTAAAATGAATGTAACGTTTAGGATACAAGCGACAAATTGTGATTCAGATAGAAATTATGTATCCAAAAATAAATTGTTGAATTAAAAAAAGATGAACAACATGCATAAATACATTTAAAAATAGTTTTACGTTATTGCTAAACCAGGTTTAAAATATGGTAATTCGGGTTAAATTTGTCTGCATTGAAAATGATAAAATCAATGACATGAATAATAATTAGAATAAAAACAGTTTTTTGCATATCTGTCTCATCCATATGCAGTAAAGTTTTTATCAGCAAAAAGGAAAACTCTCTTTTACTCAAAAGAACTTAAAGCTTAAAATTAAGTGAGAAGGATAACATTAGCATACCAATAAATGCAGTTTAAATTTTTGGTGATTTCCTTTAAAATTAACATTGTTTATTTTTTTAGAAACAAGCCATGCTAGTTCGGCAACTTGAAGAAGAACTTCGAATGAGGATGAGAGGGCCTAGTATAGAAATGCAACAGCAGATGGAGGCACTGTATCAAGAAAACGAACATCTCACCAGAGAAATTGCTATACTAAGAGATACTATAAAGGTACAAATACTTATATTTTATTTGTATTATTTTATTATAATACTATAACATTATTATGATATAATATTTTAAACCACTTTTTATAATTACTGAAGGTTTTTCGCATTAATTAATACAAAAAATTGTTATGCATTTAAATTAAAATTAAAATTTGATACTTTTAAAATAATAATAATATAATGAGTTAATACAACTTTAGTTCTACGTACATAAATAATTTAATAAAAGCTGAAATATTAAAATGTATTCAAATTTATGCTAAATATAAACCAAATATAAAAATTAAAAATATATTTTTTAAATTTTAACACGTTTTTATTCCTATGATATAGAATAGTGTATTCAATCATTAACAAATTAACAATTTAATAAAAATAATGTTAAATTTGTAATACCCCCAAAATAACTAATTCAATACGAGCAGGTAGTAAATTCTAAATATAGACATATTATTAAATAAATCCCTAAAAGGCAGATGTTGACTATTTCCGAATGCTTTCGAACTGGAAAAATGGACATTGCTATTTTCCGTAACTGTACATCATATGTTTTTTCTAGTTCCACCTTTAAAACTCCTAATACTGTACATGTTTCCATGAGACTCATTGACCTTTTAAATACGCATTGACAAGTTATGGCTTTATGGCGTTTTAGTTCTCAGTTGTCATAGAAACGTTAAAATAAAGTGTCCATCTTGTGAAATAATACTAAATGTAAAATTATTTTATTATCTCAATACTCAATACAAAAGTATTAACTCATTTCTCAACGCCAATATTTGAAAAGTTTATATAAGGGTCATTTTCAAGAAACACCCACCTTCAGGAAAACGAAGATCAATTTTTTTTTTTGCTTAAATTGACTTTTGGTTGGAGTTTTATAAATGTTTAAAGTTTTGTTTACTTACATTTAAGACAGGCAGTGCACTTTTTAATTTTTTTTACGTTTTTTTTCAGAAAAATGTGTTTAGCTAGCTTTATATGTATCCACTGTGTTACCAATTTGAAATCCAATTCAATAAAAAAATCCAATTCAATAAAAAAAGTTGTTATAAAAATAATTTGAAATAAAATGTACTTAGTTCACAAACTTTTGACTCCAATTTTATTTTTTATTAAAAATTGTATGCCTTTTTTAAATATTTATGTTAGTTAATTTACTTTTTAAAAGACACCATTCCGATTCTTTGTTAAAAGTTAAACTCTAATTCATAAACAGGTATTACCAAGTGATAGTAAAACCATTTTAAGAATTTTTTTTAACAAAAACTAAAAAAAGTAACGAAATAGACATTGGTATCACAACGAATGGGGTACACAAAGGACTTAATCAGATAACGTAAAAAAGAAACTATATAGGGTGGTACGATTTTAGAGTAATGCATAAACAAAATCCCTTATAGTGGTGCTCACTTGCAGAATAACAACTTAGATTTCTAAATTATAGATACCCTTTTTCTTTGACTATAAGCTGGTGTCTTTTAGTACTTGTATATTGCGTGTAATTTTCCCTTGGATGTATCTATATCATGGGTTGTAATCACAAATAATTTTAAATTGGTTTATCATAAACTTCTTTTAATAAAAGCGACGGTAAATATCCACTTTGTTGTCGAAAAATTCTATTGCGTTACCCTTAATTCCATTGCGTTACCATAAGGTAATGTAATGGACTCGGTAACGCAGTGGACAAAGTTTTGTGAAACCATATTTAAAAAATAATAATAAAACATTACAGTCATTAATTACTCTCAATGAGCTTTAGTGCCCTAAAATAAACATAAAAATGTCTGGGACATGAGTCAAATTTAAAAAAAGTAGATTAAAATTAATTAATTTATATAAGGATGTTATGGATTGCTATAAAGCAACTCAAAGTTCTGGTTATTCAATATTAAAAAAAAACATGTATGTATGTAAGTTTTATAAAACGCTAATGGGACATGCGAAAATAAGTGTTTCACAAGTTTCAAAATTAAAAAAAAATTATTCTGAAATAACTAAACAAACATTTTCTGAAAGAGTTTACTAAGGGCTTGTTAGGCTTTCACTTGGTTTTTAAATCAATAAGATCCGATAATTTTTAACAAAGTTATTGGAATTCAAACTTACGGACAGCGGAAGGCGGGTGTTTTTTGAAAACGTCCCATAAACATTGTACTGAACTTTTAATTTCGCTGGCAGTAAACTAGATTTAACTTGATTTCGGGTGGAGACTTCGCCGTGGAGGCCCATAAAACATTTTCTTCACTTTCACTGTAAAAAACTGTTGTTAGTCCATTTTCAAGGAATACATTTCGATTTACAAATTTGGCATTTTTACCAGCGCGCCGTTAATACAAATTCCCATTCTTACGGTTACTCTATTTTTGTATAGGATGACTTTTTTGTTTGAACCACAGAAATGGTTGAATTGAAAAAAATGCTCAAGTCAGTACTAACCTTAAAATCAATACTGCATATAAAACATTTCTTTTCACACTATATATTTTTTCCTTATTTTGTATAAAAATAATAAAACCTCGAGGCCGAAAAACCGCATGGTTCATTAAACAAGTCCGTAATTTCTTTCTAGGAGCTCGAGCTCCGCATTGAGACACAAAAGCAAACGCTGCAGGCGCGCGACGAAAGCATCAAGAAGCTGCTGGAGATGTTGCAAAACAAAGGAATGGGTAAGTGTACCTCCTAACTGACCCCCTTACGCTTCAGCCTTGCACATTCTCTATCTGTTTTTCCACACTCTTTTACTCTTATACTTGTACAAAATAACAAACAATTTTTTAAATGGTAATAGTTTTATGACCACGGCCACGTCGAGAGAAGAGTCTTTTACAGTTACAGTGCGATTTTTTTGTTAAATAAATTTTCATACCTAGGATAGTGAGTCCAAGAGAAAGACACTTAATTGATCTGGATAAATAAATAAAGTGTAAATGTTCCACATAGAAAGTAGTTTAAGAATCATCCTTTAATAGGCTTTATTTATTCGATAATCCAATATTCTTAATGATCAAGGTGCCTAATCATTAGAACAAGTATTAAATAAACCAATAAATAGACTTTTTATTTAGTAAATGACACAGGTTTACAGATTTTTGGACCTAATAAACTTAATGTATTCAGTTTTGACAGTAGGGTTACTGTTTGGAAACATTATGAGAAAAAGGTGAAAAATTGATCCTGCGTGTGCTTTAAAATCAACCAACTCATCCTCAAAGGATCTTTCCAAGTCTTCGGAATAAAATTCACACAATTTTTTTGCTTTCGCACGAAGGTCTTTTAAATTGAAAGTTCAACAAGCGCATAAAATGTCTCCAAAATGATTCTGTATTCTCTCCAATTATCTCTGCCAATTCTCCTTTTTCATTTTCATCGAAATAAGGTTTTTTTTAACTTTAACTTAACGATTTTTATATTGTTTGTTAACCAATTTTTTGAGGGCTTTTTGTCGAAATCATCTACCCAGATAGCACACAAAGTCTTGAACGTCTGAAGATCCAAAAAAAGTCTTTTGATAGACGTCTTCAAGATATCTTCATTTAATGTTCTAAAGATATCTTATGAATGCCGTTTTCTTGTAGATTGGTTATTTTTCCTACAATTAATAATATCTATTTGTTATAAAAACATTATAAACAAACATGTTTTTCAAAAATTAAGTATTAAGACAAAATAATCTTAAAATAACCCAGCGAAAGTTTTTAAATTAAATTACCCGCACATTTCCCATAATACAATGATATCAAAGCGGCACCATCTTAAAAGTCACGCCATGTGATATTTATGCTGTTCTTTTCTATTTCACCAAGCGCTGATTATTCTGAATTCCTAAATAATTCGTAACTAAATAACTCGTAACAATTTAAACTTTTATTTATTTTTAATAGAAGTATACATTATTTTTAGAAGTTTAAAAGCATTATTAGCTACATTTTAATTACTTAATACCTTAAAAACGTTTTGGCGATTTAGCAATGCATAACCAAGAATAGGTAGAAATAGGTAGTCTTTAACTTCTTAAAGACGTCTTAACGACGTTTAGCAACGACTTAATAATGCCGTTAAAAGGACATATTAAAGACGCTGTGTTTTAGATATCTTAAAGACGTCTTAAACTGAACGTCTTAGAGATGTCATAAACGTCCGATTTCGACATCTTTAAGATATATTTAAGATGTCTGTGCTATCTGGGTAATCTATCCTGAATTCCTTTTTGCAATGCAGAAATTACTTCTGGATGAAAATTATCAAGAGAACTTATATACCGCATCATTTCTGGTTGACGATAAAGTTTTTATAGTTAAAGCTGTTTTTCTCTCTGAGACACATGACTGAAGAATTCATCATCGTTTGTAAGATGCAGTGAGAAAACCATTTGCAAGGAAAAAATTCAAATTGCAATATGGGTTATTATACTTTTTAGCCCCATATACCTCTAAAAAATAAATATTTAGTAGTTAGTTTCGCTTAAAAGATAACCTTCAAAAACACACGCTGCCTGTTTGCAACGCGCAAAATAACAGTAGTGATACCATTGCCAGGCCTCGGCGCCATCTCGTGCCACAGTTATAAACTACATAGGTTACAGAGTCCATGTAATGCTAAATTCCAGTGTATTTTATAACGTAGGCGGTTTGTGAAGAAGTAGACATTAAATATAAGATTTGGTCACGCTTAAAAAATTATTCACAGACATTTTATCAAATTTTTTATTAGTACTGAGGAGCTACTTATTTATTATTTCATTTTCGTTTTAGAATTTTGTTTCATACCTACATACCGACAACTGACAAATGGCAGAAAGCCCTAATAGTATAATGGCCCATATAGACAATTATTTTTAAATTTGTACTTTTTAAAATCTATAAAAGTGGCTCCAGTATTTAGAACCTACTTGGTCATATTTTTGTTTAAAATGTAAAAAACATGAGTTGGTTTATTTAATACAGTTTCTGGTAATTACCCATTTGAAGTAGGGTCCAACAAATTTATATTAAGTGACTTTCTTCAGGGATAAAGTAAATCCATCCAGGTGTCTACAAATTAAACAACTAGTCTAATATGTGGACACTAAATTCCAATTACATATATGTGTGTGTATCTAATAATAAATAACAATTGACTAACAGAGGCACATGCGTATCGCATTTAATCAAGCTAGATGATAGATGTGTGCATTATTTACGTTACGATAGATATAAGTGTTGGGGGATTGTGCACGGGGCAAAAGGACTAATACAGGGGGTGTTGGATATGTTCTAGGTAAAGAGGAAGAACGTCAGATGTTTCAGCAAATGCAGGCGATGGCCCAAAAGCAGGTGCTTATTAATTTCTTGTTAATCATTTAACAAGAATCATAAGATCAACAATTTTACAATTTTAGCAAAGTACTAATTTTACTGGTGGAGGTTTACTCTTTTTGTTTTGTAAAAAATTGTAAAGTTTGTGTTTGACCTTTCATATAGTAAGTAATGGAGTAAATTTGTAACTGTACAGTTTGTCATTGAAGAATGTTTACAAATTTTGATTAAAGTACACCTCAAAAGTAGGATATTAAAATAATTTTTTTTGTATAAATAAATTAAAATTATTATTAAAAATATAAAATAATCGTATAACTAAAACAAAAAATAAAGTTATTATAATTTTAAGATAAAGATAAAATGAAAGTTTTTTTATACGAGTGTGGATCAATAAGTACCCGTGTTTGCAGACAGATGGCATTGCTAAATCAACTATGCACTTATACTGCTTATTCGCTATATTTTGTATACACGACCTTGTTTCCTTTTTTGAGGGGAAATTTGTCGATTTGCCGTATCATTTTACCTAATGCGCATAGTCAGTTCATAAGTGGGGAATTTAAAATATATGATACCATAGACATATTAATACGTCCACATATGATACGAATTTTCCATTAGATAAAATTTAGGTTATATCAAATTTTTCTAAATTATTTGCTTACAGGTTATGCTTACATAAATTTCTGTGGTTTGTCTTTATAAAAAGCAAAAAGTGGCGTAATGTGCATATTATGAAAAAGCCACTAAAAATCTCGTAAACATAATGGAAAACATCAATGCCAAATCAATTGGTATAAAACAGAAACCAAACAAAATGGTTAATTATAAAAAAACATCTGCATATTAAAATGTCTATGATATACAATTTACTAAAAAGTATTTATGGTACTTTACAAATAATGCAATCACCTGTGTGATTCTCACTTCCCCTACTTTAACCCCACGAAAATAAAAAAGTCTCAGTTAAAAATGATTTGTATATGTGTGGAAGTGTGGAACTTGGTATTAATATCGTGCCTACAATCTTTCAAACGATGCCATACAAATTGTCTGCTACTTTGCGCACTTTGGTTATCAAGAATCATTTCGTGGATCTTTTAAACGATTTCCCCTTCTGCACTGTACCCCTTATGAAATTCTGATATACCCTCACATTTGAGTTCGTTGAAACAATATCTCATGTTTTTTATAGATGGTGACGGGTTGTCATAAACACCATCCGACTTAAAATGTTTTCTCATCCAAAAATAAAAAGCAATGTATGTCAAATCAAAACTAAACCGCCGACCGTGAAGTAGTGGTCAGCGCTGTTTACAAGCCGAGAGGTCTAATCCCACATTGGCATGGTTCTTTATTTGTGTTTGTCCCATTGTGTATTTAAGTCAAATGGTCCTAGTAAGGGTAAAACTAAAAAAACTAAAAAATTGAAAATCTTGTATGGCGTGGTTTGAAAGACGATAGTACACGATGGTAATGAAGACCAATCAGCAACGACATCTATTTACCAACACGGCTACTTATTGGGCCACCCTCCTATAGTGTTTTTATAATTGACTATTAATTAATTTTAATCCTACTACTTTAAATTTATTATAAGGTTTTTCTTTAGTACCTATTTTTTGTTTATGTCCTTCAAATAATTTCTATAAGAAAGCAGGTATGCTCAAAATATCCCAAATCACATTTTATGCTTCATAAATGTTTATATCACCTTGTGAAAAATCCAGAGAACATAAAAAACTAAGGCATTTAAAACAAATTAATAAATTTGGACCAAAATGGTTCCGCACCATTTTTTAAAATTTAGTAAAGAAATTTGAAAAACCACTTTCCACTTTCAAGAAGACCAAACATTTTTTTTAATGTTACCTTTCGCGAATTTTGACGAATTGAGGGACAACAAATAAAAACAAGTTGTTCTATTTTATTTAAATTTGGGCTTCGGTTGGGCCTGGGTATAATATACCCAAATTTAAACAAAATTGGACAACTTTAATTTGTTTGTTGCCCTCTTAAATTAACGACTATTTTGTATTTAGCTTTAACAATATTTTATAAAAACATATTCTTTGACCAACTGTACCATCCTCATATTGCCTGTTATCAGTGAAGACAATTTATTAATAATATTATTAAGAGATATTAAAGATCTTTAATTTTGTAAACAAAAATATTGAATGCCTAAAATATGTCAAGAAATAAGAAAAGGGCTTAGACAAAAAACAGTTATAAAACACTATAATCAGTTGAATATTTAAGCTTTGTTTTCAATATCCTAGCCCCTTTTCTTCTTTTAAAGAGCATAATAATTTAGGTTGTATGTATAATAAATTTTTACTTGTCATTGATAATTTGCAATTTGTAGATAAATTCTCCATCATTTTCATTTTGTATGGTCGTGTTTCATATTCATCGGGCACATGATCAAGAGATACCCATTGAGCATGCGTTTATGTTTCCATTGGCTGTATTTTAGAAAATTTCAAATTTAACCAATCATTACTAACGTTACAGATAATTATTGGCTAACAAAATTATACGGAGAACATTAAGAAAGAAAACTATAGAATTCGACATACTAAACTACATGAAAAAGCTTTTAAGGGGATCAGTACACGAAAGGGATTAACAAGGGATTCTATACTTTTCTTTGGCAAAGTAGCCTGGTGAAATTAAATAAAAATTGCCGGTGGATCTTGTCCGTGTGCCGGTGAAAATGTGTGGTGGTAAAAACAGTTGATTGAGAGGCAAGCGGTCGGCTGTTTGCAGCTAGGTTGCATTCAGCTTCTTTACAAAATAAAACTTACTTAGAAACCTACACGAGAACACATTACAGAGGTGTCTGCCAATTTTTCGAAGAAGATAAATAAATACATTTAATGTTTATTTTATACGAGACGTTATGAGATTTTTGTTAAAAGTAATTCCCATACTTGTCACCTTGTTTTTATTCTGTAACAAGTCCTTTTTCTACGTTTCTATAATATACCATAGAGAAATAATTTAATTGAGACTAAGTGAGGTTGGATCGGTCTAAAAGTTGTTACATAATAAACACAGAGATGGCGCCACCAGTGCCTATTCCGTCATCCGATGATAGAATGAATTCATTCTGTAACACTTAAAGGAATATATGTAATTCCACATTAAAAAGTTTTATTAGAACGGTCATATTCCGTAATAGGAGGAATTTTTAATTTCATTTAATTGTGTTTTTTCTTTAAACATTTGAATACAATTTACAAAGCCAATTTAACCTTATATCTTTTATAAGTGTTTTAAAATTTACTTTAAATTAATAATAAGGATTTTTACCTGTGAAAGGTTATCCCATGCTCTTTATTCTCATCATTATAATCCAACAAAGAACAAACCACCATTGTATTTTAACATAAACAAACTTTTCGCTTTAAGGGCATCACAATGAAATTTTGGTTCAGTTTATTAACACTTCATTTCAATGCACTTCTTTAAATTCATGAGATCTACAGGGTGTCTTAAAAATGACGCACTAACGGTACCTATACCACAGTGTAGGGGAATCCCCCCTATAAAATAGCCAAACATTTTTCTAACAAAAAGTTTTTGAGTAATTAATTTTTTTCAGTGTAAAAAGAGAACAAATGTGACATCCAAAAAAGGTTGTTACGGAAACAAATTAAGAGGCCTATTCCCTTTCGTTGACCATGCATGTTCATGAAATACAAATGTTTTGTATGTGCCTATTTACTCTCACTTATTTCTTCTATTATATAGACGCATGCGCTCAAAGAATTTCTTAAACATGTTTATAAACATCATCGATGTCTAATTTGCTATTCCGTTTCCAAAATTCGCTGTTTGTTGAACCTGAGCCTGAGAGGTGCTGTTAGGCAATATTTGAGGTGTTTTTTATCTTGCATTGATGTTTGGTACAGTATACTGTACCAAATAATGATATATTATTATCAAGCATAGTGATTGTCTTAAATTAATTAGTAATCATAAATTAAATACTCTTTCATAATTAATACCTAAATAATTATAATTATAAATGATAAATAATTATTTATAAATGAGAATAGGACAAATCACATAAGGGGCCACACCAAACTAATAAAAATACAAGGGGGGCAGAGACCCCAAAATTGACCTCTAAAAACTATTTAAACTGGTAGAATAAAAAATAACTTAAAAAAATATATTTTATTAAAAAAATATAACAAATATAAAAAGTTAGTCAAATAAAAGTAAAAGAACTAATAAAATACAAAAAATATGCATCCAAAAACTAATCTTAAATTTTTTCTTCGAATGAGAGCTTAAACTTTTTTGTTTAATTTTAAAATCGCTACACCAGAGAACACTCTACACCCTCGCTACTCATCAGTTTGAGTTGGACTTTCTCTTGGCCTATTTTCTCCTTTCTGTTGTAGAAGGAGCCCTTCCACACAGCCTGTGTTGACCTTAAATTTATCCTCAATGTCATTAAGTTGTTTCACTGGCTTCCCGACATTGCCAGTCTCCATGTAAGAAATGCCTAGTTTACTTGCCCTTTTTATTACATGAGCCTTCAGTCACTAAGAGTCTGTGTAAAAATAAGTTACAAAGAATTATTTTAAGATATTTTAAGATTACCCTTTTCCATTTAAGGATGGACTTAATGGCCATACCAGATGATCTGTTATTTTGCTAGTTTAGCATAATAAGTACATAAGTATTTTTAGAATTTGTGGATTTTCTTAAGTTGTTTTTAACTTTATTTAATGTATTAAATATCAACAATGATTTTTAAAATAATTATTTAATTAATTAATTAATTAATTTTAGTTTACGATCTGCGACTTTTAGGTTATAAACCTAAGAAACTCTCTGTCCTAGAAGCATTTATCGCTGTTCAGAAAGATTTAAGGTCAAGCCTTTAAACATATGAGAAACGGAATACCTTTAAAAATAGGTGATGTTTGGGTTGTTGTTGGGTGAACATACATGTTAAGAAATCGATGTTTATGAACAGCAAGAAAGGGAATAGGCATTAGGGTGGAACGAAAATGACGAACAAAATTTTTTTTTAGAATATCGTTTGGTAATAGTGGGAAAAAGTTGCCTAATAGGATGGTTTATTTTGACCCAAACAATGAACGCTATCAAAAAATATCTTCCGCTGCCCCAGACAGTATGAAATATGTTGAAATAATATCATGGTTTGTGTGATGCAACTCTTCGCATATTATGTTCTTAAAATCGGTAATGAGCTATTTTAATAACTCACCGCGTGGAGGTAGTTGCATATTGAGCTCCAACCGTCCCATCCCACCCTTAAGGATATTTTACTTTTTGGTAGTATATTGTCTTGGTATCGAATTTCGGCATTATTTTACGGGATTCTAATCTGGCGCGAATAAATCCATCTCTGTCATTCTGACCACAGACTGCCGAAGACGCCTCTGTTACTAGTTTAACGTTTAATGACAAGGAAACTTTGGAAATTCTAGAATGCTTCCATCTTCTTTTATGCATTCATGAATTACCATATATTTTAGTTCATTATTTGAGTATTCAAAAGTTAGTGGCGGTTCCGTTACATTGCAATTTTCCCAGGAAATTAAGTCTATGTAGGTTTCGGCTTCAAAATTTAAAGGTGGTATTTTAAATTGTCTGATTTTTTTAGGCAATCTTGGTTTTGCCCTTGCTTTTAGAATCCTCCTTAAAGCCAGCTCTTTTATATGTTTTTGCTCGGCACATAACATCGTTAAAAGAATATTTTAAATTGCCGGGATCGTTTTATTAGTTCAAGTAGGTTCTGAGAACCGTCCTTGCAAGATGGGTTACATTTAATTTTAAACCAAACTGGAGTATAAACTTTTACAACATATTCCACCAATATTTTAAGACTCTGATGGAGACTCTGTTTCAATATACAAACGAAGCAACCTATTAGCTGTTGTCAACCATCGAGAATGAGATACTTTACCAGGATCTCTTCGAGCTAAACTGTCACTGACATTACCACTAACAACAGCACGGCATATTTATAACAATTATTTTTGGTCTGTACTTAACTCTGTCTCATCAACATCAACGGGCAAGTCTGATTCAATTGGAATAAAATTTATAACTTGAAGCTTATCACATTCTGATAATTTTTTACCAATGGGTCCTGAAAATTTACATGGTCCAGTTGAAGTTCGTTTCCGTGCAATTGACAAATAAGCCATCACAGTATTCCTCTAGCAGTCTTAAAACTCCACCCTTATGTCCCGTATTTACCGCTGTTCCATCACATCCAATATCCAAAATCTTTGTTTTATCAATGTTATGTTTTTCTAAATAGCTGACAATACATAATTTTATATTTGCAGCAGATCCAGATAAGGGTGTTGCGTGTCCCATATATTCAGACCCTGCTTCTTTAACTAAAACATAATGTTCTTCTGTCTTAGTTTTGCGATGCGACCTGTTTCCTTTAACTTCCAAAACTAAAGTTTTGACTTTTCGACCATCGAAGAATAGTCCATTTAGGGATGACAATTTTTTTTTCTTTCTCTAGAATATTTTTGCGAAGTTTTTGTCTTTGTCTTCGAAATTTAACTCTATCTACTACATTTGTTCTATTTGTTTGTGAGACCAAGCCAACATCTTCAAGTACAGAACTTGCAATTATTGCTGCAGCTCTGTCGGAAACTCCCGTTCTTTCACAAGCTAAGGCAAGTGAAGGCAATGAAACTCTCATTTGCCTTATTATATTCCTTTGAGAAGTTAAAGCTTCGCACTTTTCAGGTACTCACATTTAAAAAAAAAACGAAATTTCGTTCCACCCTAATAGGCATGTAAACCACACATTTACAGAGAGCTGTAATTGGCATTTTCTGATATTTGTGTTACAAACTTTAAAAATGATCATTAATAAATTTGTTTAATTTCTATCCTTGAAATGTGTTTTAGAAAATGTTTGTCTATCCTTTTTTATAAATTAATAATCTTAAAACATCAGAAAAATGTTGGAAATTTTGTATTCTTACTACAGAGTGGTATAGCGTTTGCGCCATTTTCTGGGAGTAAATTACTGTAAACACAATTATTAATTTTCTTTGAAAAGTTGAAGGCGATAATTTTTTTGTATGTTGTGATCTCGTGTTAAAAAATCTGCAGAAAGTAAATACAAAAAGTAATGAGTAAAGAGTAAATGCAATAAAATGATAAATAGATGAATATAAATAAGATGATAGAGTACGGTGTATGTTAGCTGGAGGGTGACCGAGTGTTCCGTGTCTCTGTGCAGGAGCTGCAGGCGGCCAACGAGACGTTGCGCACGCTGCAGACGCAATTGGAGCTGGTGCCCTCGCCCTCCAGCAGCACGGTCAAGGTGCTCCTGGATACGAAAGACGCTAGAATAGCGACTCTCGAGCGGGAAGTGAACCTGCTGGAGAGCGAGGTCGAACGGCTGGGCGGGGGCACCCACCCCCCTCCCCCGGCTCCAACGGATCTCCAGATGGCGGCCTATGCTTCGCCCGCCCTGCTCCCCGCTTTCAAGCGACAAGTAAGTTTTCTGTTGAACGATGTGCAGATCGGAAAGGATGGAAACGTAATTGGTAGACTGTAACTAGCTGTAAAGACTCTCCGGCCGCTTGGCGCTGAGTTGTTGTTCAGTTTTACCACCTCACTGTTTCTCGGCACGCATGTGTCCCGCATGGATAGTGCATGCCTCCGCTCGTGTGTGCAGCTCGACGAGTTCCGCATCGAGATCCAACGCCGCGACCAGGAAATCCTCGCCATGGGCGCCAAGATGAAGACCCTCGAGGAGCAGCACCAGGACTACCAGAGGCACATCGCCGTTCTCAAGGAGTCTCTTTGCGCCAAAGAGGAGCACTACAACATGCTGCAGGCCGACGTCGAGGAGATGCGACAGCGACTCGACGAGAAGAACCGCCACATCGAGAAGAAGACCCAGCAGACGCAGCAGGAGCGGGCCCGCACCGCGGCCGAGGTCGCGGAAATGAGAGAGCACATGGACATTAAAGATAGAAAGATTAACGTTCTACAAAGAAAGGTACACCTACACACGCTCATATCTTTCTTTCGGTGTTTCTCTCTCTCTTAAATGTTCTATTTATGTATACACAATCATTTCTCGCTTCTCACCCCATTTTTATTTGTGAAAATGTTCTCATATAACCAATTTAAGATAACCTGTGTTAATAGAACGTTATACAACCCAGAAACTTCCTAAGAAAAACTAAATTTAAAATACAAATACCTGAACGTTTAACTAGGGATTAACACATTGAGGGCCGGTTTATCAATGTCCAACTAAAAGTGGCGGTTAAGTATCTTACAGTTACCTTTATCTGACAGTTATCCGAATAGAAGTGTTTTTCTTCACCTCGTACGGTTCCAGTTTCTTATCTGCCAGTTTAGCAATACGGCAATTGGGCAACACTGTCAAGATACATTTTAATTGGTTAAATTTAAATTCATGGCATGCGCATAAAACACATAACCTTAAACGACTCTTATTTTGTGTAAATTATTATGTTTCTTTATTATTTTATAGGTGTAGATATAGGTATGTTTTTAAATAAAAATACGTACATAAATATCTTTTATACAATTTATTATCTTTTATTCTTTCTTCCACACATTAATTTAAAAATATCGCATTTTTAAAGTAAATTTATCAAAAAAAATCTATCGGTTCAAATTGTTCTCTTGATTCATGGACAAACACGAAGAACTTGTACGTACATATCCGTAAAAGTTTCTATTTTCTCCTCTATTTTTCAGCGGATATCTAAAAAAACCGTCATAATTTTGAAAATGTTCTTCCCGTTCTAAAACTGTATAAGTCTTCTCTCGTGTCAACAATTTGTTCATCGTCGTTACTTTTAAAAAAATCTTTAATATTTATTTCAAAAACAACACTACACAAACAAAAATATAACCTATAAACCGCGATAACTGGTAGTTAATTCACTATGTGACACTTGCAGCTTCCAGTTAAATTTACTTCCAGTTATCTTAATTTAAGTTCTTAATACACGTTAGTTGCATATTGATAAACAGTTTAGCTACCACTTTAATTTTTTTTACCAGTTAAGACACTTATCTGGACATTGATAAACCGGCCCTGAAGAAATTAAAATTATTTAATGTAAACTGATGAACCACTTTCATTTTAACATTTCGCAACAATCTAAATATTAATGTTTTATTCTTGATTATCCGCTTACCTTTCTGGTTTGTTAAGCAGAATCGTTACAATCCCTTGGTTAAACCTAATAATTTTAATTTTGCCTGCCTCTTTTGTTTTAAAATTATATAAACCAATTTTACTAACCACAATTTTCCAGTAGTACATAATGTACAGGGTGGTCCACGTAAGGTGACCCATATACTTATCTCAGAAACTACTGGAGTCACAAAAAATTTGTAAGGAACAAATATTCACGAAGTAAAAAATATTTTTAAAATATTATATTTTCATTTATACAGGGTGTTCGGTTTTCTTTGGGACGATACCAACTTTCTTATTTTCAATGGAACACCCTGTATTTTTTTGCATTTTTGGATTCTTCCCACTCTTTTAGGTATACTTTGTAAATATATTAAATAAGAAAATGTTAATACTTTTTGAGTAAAATTAAGATTTATTAAAATTTCTCTAAATATAGACACTCGCTAAAAGTTAAAAATAACCAACTAAAAGTTATTATTTTTTATATTATGTAGTATCCATCTCTTTAATAATAAGTAAGCTATAAGTTAATTATTATATTTTTAGGAAAATATCATACAGGGTGTTTTCTATGTCCCGTTGAAAATAGCGATTTTAAAAGTTTAAAATCTTGTTTTTCTTCAATGGAACACCCTATATATTTTTGCATAATTGGATAGAATAAGTAATTACCTTTCATTTTTTATATATATGTCCTATACCTAAACCTAACAGAAAAAAAAATATTCGCATTTTTCACAATTAGTAGATTTTTTCCAATTACCTTAGTTAAATTTTCATTATTCAAAGAAAACACCCTGTATAATATTTTCCAAAAAATAAATTAATTAACTTATAGCTTACTTATTATTAAAGAGATGAATGCTACATAATATAAAAAATAATAACTTTTAGTTGGTTATTTTTAACTTTTAGCGAATGTCTACATTTAGAGAAATTTTAATAAATCCTCATTTTACTCAAAAAGTATTAACATTTTCTTAATTAATATATTTACAAAGTATACCTAAAAGAGTGTGTAGAATCCAAAAATGCAAAAAAATATAGGGTGTTTCATTGAAAATAAGAAAGTTGGTATCCTCCCAAGGAAAACCGAACACCCTGTATAAATGAAAATATAATATTTTAAAAATATTTTTTACTTCGTGAATATTTGTTTCTTACAAATTTTTTGTGACTCCAGTAGTTTCTGAGATAAGTATATGGGTCACCTTACGTGGATCACCTAAAAAAAATATTCGCATTTTACAAAATTAGTAGCTTTGCGCGTATGGTAATTATTATAGTAATATATATTTATATATAAAAGCATTTTTATTTGTTGTTATTGAAATTTATTTATTTGAATAATGAAAATTTAACTAAGGTAATTAGAAAAAAGCTACTAATTGTGAAAAATGCGAATATTTTTTTTTCTGTTAGGTTTAGGTATAGGACATATATATATAAAATGAAAGGTAATTACTTATTCTATCCAATTATGCAAAAATATATAGGGTGTTCCATTGAAGAAAAACAAGATTTTAAACTTTTAAAATCGCTATTTTCAACGGGACATAGAAAACACCCTGTATGATATTTTCCAAAAAATATAATAATTAACTTATAGCTTACTTATTATTAAAGAGATGGATACTACATAATATAAAAAATAATAACTTTTAGTTGATTATTTTTAACTTTTAGCGAGTGTCTACATTTAGAGAAATTTTAATAAATCTTAATTTTACTCAAAAAGTATTAACATTTTCTTAATTAATATATTTACAAAGTATACCTAAAAGAGTGGGTAGAATCCAAAAATGCAAAAAAATACAGGGTGTTCCATTGAAAATAAGAAAGTTGGTATCGTCCCAAGGAAAACCGAACACCCTGTATAAATGAAAATATAATATTTTAAAAATATTTTTTACTTCGTGAATATTTGTTTCTTACAAATTTTTTGTGACTCCAGTAGTTCCTGAGATAAGTATATGGGTCACCTTACGTGGACCACCCTGTACGTTGACATAATGTTTATTTATATTTTTAAAACTGCCTTACCTTTCTTCAATTGGACATTTTGTATTCTTTTTGTCCTGTCAGAATACACAGAGAAAAAGGGAACATGCCGAAAGTTATGCAAAACACATACTTGAAAATTAAAATTATCTAACACAAAAAATAAGCGAGATAAGAATTAAAAACGATAGCCAATCCCAATACATGGCCATAGGGAATTCTTTAAATTGCTAGGATGCATTGTTGATATTATAATATGTAAAATATTTGTTCGACTGGAATCCACTTCATTGTGATACTGCGGTCAGTTTTTGTTCCTGTCATTATTTATCATTTTAAATTATGTTTTACTCCTCTGATTATGCCGAAATGTAAATGGGCGCAACGCTAGTTGTTCTGCATTGTAACGAAATTAAAGGTGCCCCTTAACGTATTAGAACATCGGAAAATAAATAAGCTATTTTCAATGCCTTTGATGCAAATAGTAGGAAGAGCATAAGGGAAGTTGCACGCGAATTTCCCGTTCGCATTTTAGCGTGTTATGAAGGACGTTCATTTTACGCAAGTAATCAAGTATCAACTGAGGAAGATATTCCGGATAGAGTGGAATTCTGTAGTGGTTGCTAGAGATTTTGGCTTTGGGGTACAGAACTAGTTGTTTAATTTTTGCTTTAAAACATTGGCGTTCTGAAGTATGAAATTATTTTTAAACACAGTCGGACAAAAGACAACAATGTTCTATCGTCTCCTAGCAATTTTTAAGCTCCTACGTTTAACCTAGACAAGAGCTCTCGGTATTGGTTGCTGCTTTTTTGCCCACTTTGATTACCTAGCATTATTACTCAGCACGCCCCGCCCCCTTTTTCTCTGTGGTGCGAGTTCTGGGACACTCTGTATGTAACTGTTACAATGAATCATACAATGGATTTTCCATATTTTCAATTTAAATCGATATGAGAACATTTCTATTCGTGTATAATATAAGGAATTATAAGTTAATTTTTGTGTTTAATTTTGTAGGTAAGTAATATTATACTTTACAACTAACAAGATCTACTAACAATATTCCTTAGATTATTCAGTCGATTGTTTATAATTTGTTGGGCTTATATGTTCTAGTTCTTTACCCCTGTAAGTATAAATTATCCCTTTTGGTGTTAGACAAAGTTTAGGCGATATGTTGCAATCATTTTCGTATGAATAAACAGGTCGAAAATCTGGAGGACCTTCTCAAGGAGAAGGACAATCAAGTGGACATGGCACGAGCGCGGCTGAACGCGATGCAAGCGCACCACTGCTCCTCCGAAGGTGCCTTATCCTCGCTGGAGGATGCCATTGGCGACAAAGAGAAACAAGTGAACCAGCTGCGCGAGCAACGCGATCGAGCCGAGCAGGAAAAGCACGAAGAAAGAGAGTTGCACGAGAGGGAGTTGGCGGAGTACAAGATGAAGATCCACGCGTTAAACAGCGAAGTCGAGAAACTCTCCGCTAGATTAGATAGGGCGCAGAACGACAGAGACCGTTTGGAGGCCAAGTTGGAGAGCTCGCAGTCCGAGCTGGGAAAATCGAAGGCTGAGTTGGATAAGTGTAGTATAGAGGTGGGCAGGAGTGGTGCCGATTGGGAGCAAGCCAGGCAGAGACTGGCTAGATTGGAGTTGGAGAATGAGAGGTTGAAGGGCGATTTGGAGAGGAAAGAAACCAGAGAAACCACCTCAACAACCTTCGGTAGAACCACTTACAGCAGTTCGCACGATTTGGATCGGTACGATAAGGAGAGAGCAGATAAAACTTCCTCGGATTTAAGAAGGTGCCAGGCCGAGTTAAGGGTAAGTAATCATTTTATTGAACATAGAGAATATAGAATAGGTTTTTAAAGTTGTTGAATATTTTGAGTAGCTTTAGACTGTGGAGTCTAACAGTTTTAGTAGTTTGGCTAAATAGATAATAGAAATCATTCGCGAAAAAGTACTACTAAAAACGAACTCTTCCTCTATACTAAGACGTGCCGTTTCTTAAAATATTCAAAAAGAAAGTATGCAAAATTTATGACAAATTATTAATACACTCACAGGCAAAATATTTGATCCACACAAATTTTCGATGAATTTCAATCGCAAATAACTTTTTTATTTGTTTTCGGATTTAAACAGTTAGAATATTGTAGATACATTAATGGAGAATCGCTCACATTTTAAAAATTACTAAAAAATATACGTACTTTTATAATATACAGGTTTAAACAAAAATATGTTTTTTACCATAAGTTTAAGACACTCTGTAGAGTGGCAAAACCGTATATTGTTCTAAATTAAGTTTTAATTATCAAGTCACATCTATTTTTAACAGTTTTGTTTTTGGTTCACCTTGATATATTTATTTTTGTGGAAAATATGGATATTTTTTTAAAACATTGCAATTTCCAATATTTTTCCTGTATGAAGAACTTAGATTGCTATGGTCCATCCATAGCCTATGGAGGATGAAAGTGACAGTTTTGTTGAATTATCCCATACTTGGATATGTCATATACAGCTTTCAAAAGCTATCAAATTGTTTTTTGTAAATTAATGTGTTAATTTTTATGTGTCTTTATACTTTTAAAAATGTCTCCGACTGATGTTGCCCTTTGTACTTTACTTCTTGTGACGTTTAAAACACTTGCCACGTAATACTGTGACCGTCCTTCCTGGATTAAATTAATGGCTCTGGCAACATCAGTCGGAGACATATCCATTTTTTTAAGTAAGAAGACACCTCAAAATTTAAACATTAATTTGCAAAAAACAATTTGATAGCTTTTGAAAGCCGTGTATGACATGTCATACACAAAACTGTCACTGTCATTCTTCATAGCCTATGGATGGACCATAGCAACCTTAGTTCTTCATACAGGAAAATATTGGAAATAAAACTTAATTTAGAACAATATACGGTTTTGCCACTCTACAGAGTGTCTTAAACTTATGGTAAAAAACATATATTGTGAGCGATTGTTCATTAATTTATCTACAATATTCTTTAATATTCATTTCAATCCGACATCAAATAAAAAAGTTATTTGCGATTGAAATTCATCGAAAATTTGTGTGGATCGATTATTTTGCCTGTGAGTGTATTTAAAGTCAAATGAAAGTTAATTTTGTTGATGCTTTGCGTTAGGTGACCCAGGCAGACAGCGAACGTGCTCGTTCGGAAGCGACAGCGTTGCAGGAAAAACTGGAAAAATCCCAGGGGGAAGTGTATCGCCTCAAGGCCCGCTTAGAGAATTCGCATCAAGAACAAGACAGCCTTCGGGAGGAGCTGGAACGTCATCAGTCCAGCACGGCGAAGCTGCATTCCGACAAAGATCGGGCATACAGCGAGCTGGAGAAGGCGCGAGAGGAACTCGAGCGTACAGCGGCGTCCTTGGGAAAGGCACAATTGCATCAGGACAAACTACAGAACGCTCTCGACAAGGCACAGACCGAGGTCGACAAACTCCAAGAAAAGCTAGACAAGTCAGCTGGAGAGACCAGAAGGGTAAGTCCACCATAAACACAATTTACGAAAATTTATTTCTTAGACTTTTAATTTAATAAACTTTTATATTCGATTCCAAGATATTTGATATAGGTACCCATACAGCACAAGATTTCCATTGGACGTCAAATGGACTTACATTGGACGTTTGGATGTAAAGGGTGGGCCATCTATAAGTTGAATTTTAAACTACGTGCTATTAATGAAGCTTTCAACTTAAGCTCCATGAATTGTTGACAGTGGTTTAGTTTTAAGCTTCCGATTACAAAATATGAACCGAATAAATTTGGATCAACGTTTCGAAATACTCAAAACTTACTTTGAATGTGACTGTGATCGCAGAGACAGCAAGAAAATTGCGTTTGGAAGAAATGAGGCGCCGTCAAACCAAAGTATTACAAATTTGATCAAAAAATTGCGCAGAAATGGAATGCTGGTGGACATAAAACATGTTTCGCATGCTCGTCCTAGACGTACACCTGAAGCAATCGCTGCTGTGGCCGAAAATGTACGCATGAACGCGTCAACATCAACTCGGTGCAGATGTCAACAACTCGGCCTTTCCCGTACCACTCTGAGGATGATTCTGCACAAAGACCTCGGTATGTTTGCGTACAAAGTCCAGCTTGTTCAGGAGTTAAAGCAAGTTGACCATCCACAACGTTTTCGCTTTGCTGAGTGGGCTTTAAGCCAGTTGAACGATGACCCTAATTTTGCAAGAAAAATCATCTTTTCGGATAAGGCGCATTTTTACCTCGGAGGTTATGTCAACAAGCAAAACTGTAGGATTTGGGCCACGGAAAATCCACACGTCGCCGTAACAAAGCCTATTCACCATTTAAAACAAAACATTCAAGCTCAAATTGCCTAAATAGAGCAGCAAACTTTTGACAAAGTGCTCGAAAATTGGTGTTCCAGGATGGGCTACTGCCGAGCCAGCTGAGGTGGCCACTTAAATAAAATCATTTTCCATACTTAATCGGAAGAAACATTGTATCAAATAAAGCAAAATTCGTTGAAAAAAAATCAGTTTTTCTTGTTCTCATTGCTATTTTATAATTCAACATAAACATGGCCCACCCTTTACAATGGTCGTCCATTTGACGTACAATGGACATCTTGTGCTGTATGGGTATATATGTGCTGCATTTGCATACAGATTTCATACATACGAGCCCTGTCTTAGTGAAGTTGGCCCAACCAACAAAAATAGATTTTTGAAGATATTTAGAATATTATACGGTAATTAATTAAAATTAACACATTGTTTTAATTAAATAAATAACGTTTATTAAATTTTCTACCGTTAAATTGTATTTTTAAGTACCTAATAAAAAAGTATTTAAAATTCTCTTATATTGTCCGTAAACCAAAAATTAAGAAAAAAAAATATTTTAAATAAATACATTTTAATTGGAAACTACCACTGCGTAACATCTCCTTTATGGCTTATTAGGTACTGCCTGTATACGTCTCGGCATGGTGTCAACCAATTTTTGACAATCATCCGGCGTAAAATTATTCCAAATTTCTTGCAGGAGAGCACGCAACTCTAAGACGGTTCTTGCGGGCTGTTCTCTGAGCTTCTTTTTCATAATATGCCACAAAGTTTCTATAGGCGAAAGATCTGGACTACTAGATGTCCATTTTAAAAGTGAAATATTATTTTCTATCATCCAAGCTTTCACTTTTTTAGCCGTATGACACGCTGCACCATCTTGTTGGAAGATGCATTCAATATCATTTAAACGCATTTCTTCAATTTGCGGTTTTAAGTTATTTTTTAGGACGTAAATATATTTATCAGCATTCATAATGCCCTCTACAAAGTGTAATTTACCGATCCCTTTAGCTGACATAGATCCCCAAATCATCACAGAGGCCGGAAACTTTACTTTTTTCTTAAGACAGTCATTGTGAAAGACTTCTGCTTTAGTTCTAATGACTCGGCTTCGATTATCACCAACGCAAACTTCAAATCTAGCTTCGTCACTCCATATAATTAAATCCCATTGATTTTGACACCAAGTCCTGTGCTCTTTTGCCCAGAGAAGTCTATATAGTAAAATTAAAAATAAATAAAAATCGTATACATTATAAGCAAACCTTGTAAGTTTTAAACCCAAGTTTTTGAGCAGCTCTATGACAGGTTGCTCTTGAAAAACATTTACTCGTTGCCTGATTCCACAAAACTTTTAATTCACCGTAATTAGCCCAACGATTTTGAACGATAATTCTTCTTAAAGCCCTTAAATTTTTATCAGAATAGTGAGGACGACTTCCATTTTTTGGTTTCTGCGCCACAGATCCTGTAGTTTTGTGCAGTTTAATAATATTTCGCACTGCATATCATAACAAATTAATAGTTTCAGCGATTTGTGCAGCGGATTTTGTTTTTAAATGCAAGTGAATTATCACTTTTCTTATTTCTTCAGAAACAGCTTTTTAGCACAGCCGACTTGCATTAAAAAATCTGACCATCCAAGTTAATGCATTTTTGTCGATTTTTTTGTATTGTAACCAAACATCCAACTTAAAACTAAATAATATACATACACATATTTTTAAAAAAAATTTACAACATGAAGATTGACCAAGAATTACATATGATAAAAAATTGTTGGCTTTTCATCGCATAAAATAACAAATTTTATTTTTTAAGTGGTTGGGCCAACTTCACTGAGACAGGGCTCGTAATATTTTTACTCCTTTTATAAGGTTGTACACGTAATAAACTGTTTTTAAAATTTTAAATACCTTTATAAGTGTACTAGGATTTATTAACACTTACCAAAAAGGTTTTATTAATAGAAGATTATTAAATACATTTTAATGTAACCATGTAATGGTTAAAGAATAACTCAAAAAGCATTTGAGATGCTTCCAGCGTTCCAGCGCGCAGCGGGAGAAAGTAAAGAATATGCGAGCGAGCTGTTTAACACAATGTTACGGAGAATGTTAAATGCTTTTTTACGTGCAAAATGTTTAACGAAAGTTATTTATAACTTCAGATAATTAAAGAACGGTTTCATTAATCTACATAACGATCAAAATCCAGAAATCCATTTTTTGACGTTTAGTTTTATTTTTACTTTTGTTTTACAATAGGGTTTTAAATGTTTTAATTTTTTATAAATGTATAAATTGTAAAACAAATTAAATAAACAAATTTTTTATAAGAATTTGCAAGGGTTAAAACTTTTTAATAAAAAATATTCTGTTTTTGAGAGTATTTAAAAAAATGACAATACTAGAACTTAAGGAAGAAATTATCTTTTATAATAGTTATTTATGTCATAAGAATGAGAAGTGAGTATTTTGTGCTGAGCTCAAAGTTTGAGTGAAGCATAAAAAGACACATCTCAGCAGAATGGCATATAACATTTTATTTATTACAGAAATGTCAGCAGTTATCGATTTTTTTAATTGGTTCTAACGGATTTTTTACAGACTAGGATTTTTGTACCAACTATTATTTTAGATATTTAAAATTAATTATTGAAGTAGGCACATACGGAATATTTTTTAAATATATGAGTATGAGTGAGTATGAGTATAAGAACGTATGGCAGGCCCCATCGGCAATGCCTTACACTAATCTCCCAGGGTTATTTCACCCCCTTTCGGTTCTCCTACGTATCCCGCCACTGCACAGCGTTACCTGTGTTTGGTGGATCAGAATTTTCACCCCGGCAGGTAAATCTTCCATAGGAGGTCGTGGATGACAGTGTCGATGCTTAACACAATTTTGTCACCGGGCCGGGCCATACCCCCGATTTAGGCTAGTGGAGTGTGGGACCAGGAGGGAAAACATTTTGGTTTTTGCGGGACATTGAATTGACCCAAAACTAAGTACAATTAGTAATAACCCCATTCAATTGGGGCTCATGAATGGGGCTTGGATGGTTAGTACGTAGGTAGAACCTATCTTAGCTGGTCTTTTAGTAATTCATGTTCGTCCGTGTTCAAATCGGTTCCAAGCTTACTGACTATCTATAACGTTCGGTTACCTAATTTATAGTCCAATTAAGTGTGCCTTGTATTTACTGATGTTAATTTCTTTAGGACGAGTTTCTTTTGCCTAGTGTTTGTCTGAACTTGATTAATTTATTAATTTTTATGCTAACGTTATTTATGAATTCCTTGCCTTGCTGTTTTTGTGGGAAATGTTGGCGAATAATTAATTTTTACCTGGTGAACTTTTTGTTATTTAATTTCGCATTACATTTTAGTATTTGGATATTATTTAGATCATGCAATTTTGTTAATTTTACTTATCCGGCTTATTCAGACTTGGACTTGAGCATGATAGACAGATGTGGTAAAGTTATTCCTTAACTTCGCGAATTCAACCAACTATTAGTACTCGTTATTTCCTTGTAGGTTATTCAGAAATACCTCCCTCACACCCGTTTCACAGTTTGAGCACTCTAGGATTTGAACCAGGTGAAGATGCCAAACACAAATTGCACCTTTTTTGCACTTGGTTCTGGTAGATTACGTGTAGAATATTGATTGTTTTTACATATTAATTTGAGAAAATTCCTCATTCTTTAGTTTTTAGGGTGGTTTAATACAATTATTATAATAAAATGTTTTAATTTTTAAAGTTTTCTTGTTTTACTGATTAGATTAGATGTTTCTATGACACCAAGTAATCTTTTACATAAAGATTGACAAGCTGTGACTTATGGCGTTTTAGTTACGGGCTGAAGTTTGCAGCACTGACATTTTGAAAGCCGGCAAAACAGATTTTGGTTACTATATTTTTATATCGATGTCGCTCTATACAAATATTTAAATTGATTAGTAATAAATTATTGTTTACAATAATATTTGTCGTAGTATAGTACGCAACTCGTTCATAAATTTTACTAAACACTGTTCAGTTTCAACATCAAAAATAAATAAAAAATAATTTTCAAATAAACATTAAAAGCAAAGCAATACTGAGGACTTTTTTACAAATTTAACTCATGACATTGATTTTTACAAGCAAACCTAAGCACTTATTAAATGAAAACAATATTTATGACATTATGGTGTGTTTTATATCACAGGAAAGACCACTGGGGAAAATCAGTTGCACGCGATATGCGTAAAAAGTAACGTGTTTAATATTTGTATGAAGAAAAGTCACAGCAATAAATAGGAAGAGTTTAATTTAAGTTATATAAAGCACATTTATTGGTTTTAGAGTTTAGATATAATATAAATTATTTATTCATCTTATTATTTTATTTACCATATATGGTATATATATATAAATATGCATAATATACTATTTTATATTATGATTCGGTTTTAAAAACACTTGCATTATTTTTAATAATACTTTAAAATATGGTTTAAAATTTAATAAACCTAATTTATATATAAATTAAGTTTATTAAACTTAATGTTGCCATATTTTTATGAATTATTAAAAATAATGCAATTCTTTTTAAAACCGAATCATAAAATTATTCTTAGTTTTTGACCCCCGTCATTTAAAACAGTATTTCAAGTGGTTGGCCGAACCAAAATTGTAGATATATCTACAATTCAAATAGTGATTAATACAAACCTTGGCAAAATTTAAAATGATAATTATTGATTGTATTAACAATTATTTATTTTAACAGATCCAGTTGGAGAGAGAAAAGGTAGGATACGATTTAGAGAATACCCAATCGCAATTGGACAAGGCTCTCGCCCAATCTGCTCGTCTACAGAAAGAAAAAGAGACCTCCCTCCAAGAAGCCGATCGCATTAGAGATAAATACGAGAAAAGTCAGGTAAATATCTAAACAATAATTGTGCGATAAAATAATTTGATTTTTTTTGGCCTTTATTTTTGGCAACAAACTTTAATGCTTAAAAGAAGAAGTTCAGAGTAAGCCATATCATGTTTTTTTATTGTTAAAACAACTATATGTGTCTGCCTTATTGGTAAGGGGAAACCGCTATCCTTGCCTGTCTCAGACACATATAGCTAGATTTGGTAAATCCTGTTTTATAAATTTGTAGGAATATTAATATTTAAATGGTAAAATATTAAATACTGTTTAAAGTTGAATTAATAAAGCTTCTTAGATAGAGTCATCCTAACAAGAAGTAGATATCATCTAGTACTTAAAAGCCTTAATTTTATTTTATATTTAATTACAAAATCATTAGACCTTAACCCATGTACCAAATAATCCGATAGCTCAACTTCAACATGGCTGCTAACGTGTATAATGATCATATCAAAATTGTAATCTGACCCTTGTGGAAATTTTTCTCTGAGAAAGTCTTACTTTCTCTGAAAAAGTCTGAATAATACTTATTAAGTCGGAAAAAGTCAGAATAAGACTTATTAAGTCGGAAAAAGTCTGAATAAGTCTTATTAAGTCAGACTAATAGCAAGATTTGGGAGTCTTCTAGAAGAGTTAATAAGACTTTTTAAGACTTAATAAGACTTTTAGTAGAGAAATGGTAGGTACCTATGGCGATAAAAATAAATATCCGAAATAATTCATAGAGGTTGAATTTGGTTATCGTAAAATAAAACACATAGAAAGGTATTTATTAACATTTTTGCTGTTGTTATAAGCCAAGTTTATTGCATAATTACCTATATAATAACATAGGTAAGATATAATAATTATAACAATTATAATTTTATACATACGATGCGCTTGAGATGCTTTCATTGTTTCCACCATAGAAAAAGGAGTTAATATCATGTCTATAGACATGATATTTTCGAAAGACTCATAAGACAAATATGGTTGATCTTCGTGTTTCATTCATCTTTGTATCATGGTTGATCTTCGTGTTTACGTACAGTGTTGCCATAAAAGTTCCTGACCATAAATTACAAAATACTAAAATAATAATAAAAATGTAACAGGATAGAATAAAATAATTGTGCATACTTAGTAAATATACAATATTATTTACTGAAAATTTCTTTTGTTATTATTTTGATAGAAATTTGCAAATCACCCGCAAATATTACGAAAATACCCGATTTTCGAGTAAAATACTTGCAAACGGCAACACTGTGTCCCACTGACAGGTCAGCTGTGCTCTAATTGGGCAGCTAGCTGAGCTGGTCTCTCGATATTACGTCTAGAAGATTTGTTTGTAACAATGTTTAGATAGGTAAATATTTGCGTGTATCAAAAGAAACTATTAAAATAAAACGTACAGTGGCAACTCCTTTTTCTATGGTGGAAACAATGAAAGCATGCATGTCAAGCGCATCGTATGTATAAAATTATAATTGTTACATCTTACCTATGTTATTATATAGGTAATTATGCAATAAACTTGGCTTATAACAACAGCAAAAATGTTAATAAATACTTTTCTATGTGTTTTATTTTACGATAACCAAATACAACCTCTATGAATTATTTCAGATATTTATTTTTATCTCCGTAGGTACCTACCATTTCTCTACTAAAAGTCTTATTAAGTCTTAAAAAGTCTTATTAACTCTTTCAGAAGACTCCCAAATCTTGCTATTAGTCTAACTTAATAAGACTTATTCAGACTTTTTCCGACTTAATAAGTCTTATTCTGACTTTTTCCGACTTATTAAGTATTATTCAGACTTTTTCAGAGAAAGTAAGACTTTCTCAGAGAAAAATTTCCACAAGGCTATGGGAAAAAAGTTTATAGGCCTTAAACAATATAAGATAAATCCATACATAATTAATTAGTTCTTTAAACCATAATAATCTTTTAGAACTCCATGTTACGCGTGCAAAAAGAACGGGACAGCTTCCAGGACGAGTGCCAAAAACTCAAGGAACGCGTCGAAGGTCAACTCAGCCAGATTGCGAAGGTACAGCGCGAAAGAGCGGACATCGAAACCGAACTCGACGTTCTTAAGGAGCGGTGGGAGAAGGCACACATGCAACAACAAAAAATACAGCTCGAACGGGATGACGCTCTCACCGAAATCGACATCCTCAAAGATAAACTGGAGAAAGCAATCTACGCTTCGCAGAAGGCCATCGACGACAGAGAGAACGTGCACAAGGAGTTCGAGAAACTGTTAGAAAAATACGATAGGTAATATTGTGTATAAAATGTGAATTGTCACTAATATTTCATTTATAGATCTCAAAATGATGTATACAGGCTTCAAAACAAACTGGACACAGTGGTGGCTGACAAGGATCGCTTCGAACTGGAAGTTGAAAAACAACAACTCCTCTCGACAAAACTGCGCGAAGATCAACGAAAAATCCAGGACGAGCTGTCGAGACTTCAAGAGATGTACGAACGCGCCCAAATGCAACTGGGAAGATCGAAAGAGCTGGAAGAGAAATCGAAAGAGGAGTTTGAACGCATGGCGATCGACTCGGAGATGATTCGCGAACGCTATGAGAAAGCGCAAGTTGAAATTCGCAGAGTCCAATCCGAGAAAGAAAAGCTTCAAGCAGAGAACGAGAGACTGCAGTATGATTTGGAGAGATCGTATGGTCAGGCGACAAAGGCACAAGCAGGCTACGAGAAGAGTCAGGAGGAAATCGCCCGTTTGCAAGTAGAAGTAGAAAAAGCACACGAGAAGCACGATAAGCTACAAAATGAGTTTAGAAAAGTTGTAGGTGAATATGACGCCCTTAGGGAAACCGCTACTAAAACGAGGTCGGTAGATAGATACTCGAGGCAGTACGATAGAGATGACCGAACTAAAGAAGACAACGATAGGTTGAGAGCTGAAGTGGATAGATTACGTGAACGCCTCGATAAGACTTTAACCGACTTGGATCGATCGAGGAAAGACCTCGCAGCTGTCGAAGGCACACGTAATAAATTTACTTACGAGCAAGAAAAGGAAAGAAGTCTTGAGATGGATCGATTGAAAGACGATCTGCAAAGGACGTTGAACAGCAACCAACAACTGGAGACTAAGCTACACGAAGTTAGCATACAATTAGATTTGGCGAGAGGCGAAGTCGCTAAAGTATCGGGTGGACAGGACAAACAACGCCACGAGCTCGAACGCGCCGTTATAGAATGTGAAAAACTGAGAGATAGACATGAGAAACTCAGGGTGGCGACTGAAAAACTCGAGAAAGATAACGAAAAACTCCGCATGGAGTTGGCACAAGCCGATAGAAGACAGACTTTAGCGGCCGACAAAGTTAGGAACGATGAACGTCTGGAATTCGAAAGATTAAAGGAAAAATTAGAGAAAGCATTACAGGCCAGGGACGCTACCGAAATGGAGGCGGGCCGTTTAGCACAGGAGTTGGAAAAATCGCAGATACACTTGGCCAAGGCTTTGGAAACCAATGAAGCCACCAAAATTGAGTTCCAACGTATGGCCAACGAATTGGCTAGAATGCACGAAACCATCGAGCGAGATAAACTCGACTGGAACACTTTGGAACAAGAAAGGGATGTTCTCAGGGCCGAACTGCAACACGTTAGAAGCGGCATGGATACGCAAAGAAAAACCATTGATCACAGAACACAGGAAACCTTGGTTAAATTGCAACAAGAATTGGCACAAGCTTCAAGGGAACGCGACAAGTTGGCCAACATGTTGGACAAACAAGGTAGGCAAGGCGATTCGATTGAGAAGCAGATAATTAAGTACGAAGCTGATATCAAACAGTTGACCATAGAGAGAGATCAGTTGGTTAACCAACTTGAAAAGTCACAAGATATGCTGATGAACTTCCAACAAGAGTTGAATGCCAGCGAGACAGAGTTAGAAAAACAAAAAGGCGAGGTGACAAGATTGAAGAATGAACAAAAAAGAATGTCGCAGGATATCGAACGAGGTACCAAAGATATGCTTGAGAACAGGGACAAGGAAATTACCAAGCTTCAACAGCAACTGCAAGCCATCCAAAAGGAGAGGGATGCCCATCGTCAAAGAGCGGATAAAGCGGAGAAACTGCTGCACGAATCTGGAGGTAGAAGCGATTCAGAGTTGGAACAATGGCGTAAAGTCGTCGAACAAGAAACCAACCGAGCAGATCAGGCGGAAAAAACCGCTAACGATCTTATGAAGAGGATTCAAGTCATGGAGAAACAACTGCAACAGCAATTACAGCAGATGGCGCAGTACCAAAAAGAACGAGGTATCCAACAGCAGCAGCAGCAGCAGCAACAACCGCAAGATGACAAAGAGGTGGCTAGGTTGAGAAAAGAGCTTGAAAAGGCACAGAATGACGTTAAAAATAGCGCTACTGAAAAGGAGAGGTTACAAGCTCAGTTGGAAATGTTGGTGCAAGAACTCGAAAGAAACCAAGTAAGAATATACAGGGTATCACCTCATAAGTTGTCATCCTTTAAGATGATGATAGTAGGTACACGACAAAAAAATCATTTAAATTTTGGGCCGCCATTGATTGACCTTATGCACAGTGAGATATAATCTACATGCATTAAAAATTTTCATTTGTATTATCATTGATTATTTTCTTGATAATTGTTGTTTGTTTTGCATACTCAGCTATTGTTGAGTAGGTACTTTGAATAAAACAATACTTACTTTTTAGGTATTTTGAGGTGTCCGTGGTTTTCCCGATTTTAAATTTCACCTTTTACGTCTATTATTGCTCATGTAGCTATTTCTTTAAGTGTTCCTCAAAATCATAAAAAAAATTTAACTATCCCGCCGTTATTATCCACAAAAGTTGATAGCAGCGTAGAAAATTATGATGTGACGCTCTTGCTATCATATCCGGATGATTTTGGTTCGCGGAGTTGTTCTAATGTGTCAACTTCGCTTTGGTACACTAAATTGTTAATGTAGCCCCAGAAAAACCACATTTTGAAGTTTAAAAGTTTTCTTAATATTACATAATACACTGTGCGAATACCTTTTTCTTTTTTGCTTGGGTGAATATTATCTTTGTTTTTAGAGGTAAAAACAATGATGATATCCAGTGAGTTCCTGGTTTTATAAAAAAAAATCATATTTTTTTATTAAAAAACAGTGAATCTAATTCAAAAATGATAGATGAAAAACTTTCTTGTTTTGGAGTGTACTATCATTCCTTTAAAGGATGACAATTTATTAGGGGACACCCTTATAAATATTTTAAATATTTAATAATGTTTTTTTTAATTTTAGCTTTTATTATTATTATTTAATAAATTTATGTTGTTTAGGTTATTTTTATTTTAACACTTTATGTCCTACTAAAACCTTTATCCCTCATCGTATTATAATACTATAAAATCAATTATAATTTGCACAACTACTCTAATATTATTTCTTTTTGAAGCTGGAACTATTGGAGGCCTCAAAGAAGGCTGGTGCCCCTCAGAAACAGGAAGATTTAGGTCCTCAGAGGAAACAGTTGGAAGACGAAAAGCGAAGAGTGGATGACCAGAAGAGGCAATTGGATGAACAAAGAAAAGCCATAGAAAATAAAGCAAGACAAGTGGAAGAAAAGGAAAAGGCATTGAAGGAAGTAGAAAAACAGTTGATGAAGCAGAAGGATCAAATGGACCAATTACAAGCCTCACTTCAAAAGGTTAATGAATAAAAAATTGCGAGGACGAATTAAATATGTTGATTTTTTTAGGCGGGAGGTGGTGCTGCTGCAGCAGGGGAACTTAACAAAAAATTGGCAGAAGCACAGAAAAACGTGGAGAAAGCAGAGGAAGAGGCTAAACGTTCAGCAGCTGAAATGGAAAGACTGTTGCAGCTGGTGCAAATGAGCCAAGAAGAGCAAAATGCGAAAGAAAAGCAAATAATGGAGTTATCACAGTATGTTTTTATTAAAATTATTTTAAATTAAATTTAAATGTTGTATTTTTAGGGCTTTAAAAAATGCACAGGCAAAATTGAAAAACCAGCTGCAAGCCAATGCACAACTGGAGGAACAAAGAAAAAAAGAAGAGGTGATATATAATAATGTAAATACTTGATGACTAACAAACTAACAATATTTTTCCTTTCCTCCTGCTAACATGGAAACGTACGTATCAATTAATTAGGCTGGTCCTGCTGGCTTCCTAAAGAGCTTTTTCTAAATGTTTCCTATACTCTTAATATCGACATAATTTTGCCTCATTCCTATATCCACTTCACCCTTTTTGTTTCCACGCTTATATTAACGTATTTTGTAAAAAAGTATTATTTTCGTTTTACGCTTAAATTTAGGTAACCAAAGATGATTTAGTGATTTACGATTTACAAAATAACAACTCGCAAGAATTTCTAAGAAACGAACTTAAAACTAAAGAAGAGTACATTTTGGAGTTGGAATCTACGTTAGATTCCTACGAAGATTTGATTAAAGACAACAAAAACGAACTAAGTATACTCGAGACGAAACTGGACAACAAAAATGATATTATCGCGGGATTTGAAAATGGAAAAAGTAATAGTGTGATAGAACAATTCGATAACGTACCATTTAGTATAGAGAAAAGTAATGAAATTATGCAAATGACCAAAGAAAAAGATAGTAGAATAGCTGAACTAGAAGATGCATTGAGAGAAACTATAACAATATCCACTGAAAGAGAAATGGTACTTCAACAAGAGGAATTGAGACGAAAACACATAATGGAAAAGGTATGTTGTTTTTAGATAAACTTGTTGTAGAGATTAACATTTTTAATATTAATTTTAAGGTTGGTAAATTGGAACAAAGACTGTTGTCACTACAAGCAGCTCAAGCTACAAGATGTCATTCTTGTAGGCCATATGTAAATAAAATGACAAGTTTGGAAAGCAAACTATCATCCCTTATATCTGAAAGAAAGCACAATTTACAAGAGTTAATATATATGAAGTAAGTGGATTTTACCCATCTTGAAATTTTGTAAGGTATTTATTTGTATTAGAAGGTCTAAAGTGTATTGATTTTTCTAGAAGAGAAGCTTTAGAGTCAGCAATCAGCGAAAAAGACGCTCATTTAGCGTTATTGGAAATGTCAGGAATTCGGACTGCTCGACAGGCTGAACAAGCTGAAACCCTAAAATCTGATAAAAAAAGACTGGTAGAAAGACTTAAACAAGAAGTAAGTAAAATTATGCTAGGGTGAGGGTCCTGGTTTCTTTTTTTGTGGTATGACATTTAAGAAATTTTCTGCAAATTATTCAATTCCGAAATCACGTTGCTTGAATGAAACTGGCTTCATAACTAATAAAAAAATAAATAGATACTTTCAGTAAATAAAGTGACTGAAGCCCTTGGCACCTGTATTAAATGCTTCTAATGTCATTTCCATTTCTTTATCTTTTCCATACTTTTTCCGTCTACTCATCTGTCATAAAAAATTATTACTACACTTTGTTGACCTTATTGAACCTTAGTTTCTTAAGGGCTTAATTTATGATACTCTTCCAGGTTCAATCAGAAGATATTTATTTTGTAATATAATTATTTTTTCCTACTTTTCTCACTTAAATATCTTTCATGAAGCATTTGACAACAAAATAAATTACTTCCAGCTTGCAAGGGGCAAATTAATAATGCCCGTTGCAGAATTGAATATATTTTTTTAACCTTGTTTCTACATATAAATGATACATTTAAAAAAAAAAATTATATTGAGAGAATTAAGTTTCAACCAATGTCAAGCAGTTAATATTATTGGCTTCCTTATATCCCAAAAAAGAAACTACTGGATATTCTTTCTTAAGTAACTTTTAAATTAAACTCACCAAGGTATATTTTTTTAGGTAGAATTAAGTTTATCCCTGATAGAAGATGACGAAAATCCCATAAGCTTCTTGCCAGACGGCGATGACCACTTGTCAGAAACAGTGTAACCAACTTTATCTAAAAAACTTCTAAAAATAGGATCTCAGCAATAAAATTGTTTATAGTGTAAGAACTCGGAATTCGGATTATACCATCGCACTGCCCGTTAGGCAATTGTAGTAGATCGCGTTAAGTTATATAGTATTAATTAATTTATTATTATTGTTACCCGTACGAGTTTAGACATGACAATAATCGTAAGGAATGAGGCAGTATTGTGAAAACATCAAAAAATTAATTAAATTTTATTACGTGGCGTTGTGAGAAACACATCTTGTGATATTTATGTGTAATCGATTCACAATATCAAAAGATTGATGTTTCGAATTAAAAAAAAATTAGGTATAACGTTATTAAAAATATCCAGTTACAACCACAATACCATGATTAATGTTAACTAATTGTGAGGATTGTTTTTAATTGTGTTACACTTTAATAATTGGCTATAATATATACTTTGTTTGTAGTAAACTGTAATATATCTAAAAAGGCTGCAACGGGTATTTTTATTCTTAAATACTTTGATATAGTTTTTGGATTACATAGGAATTGTAAATAACTTAAGAAATCATCAGGACAGTCAATTTAAAAAGGGCATGTAAAAAGCAACTTAGTTATTTAACAATAATTTAAACATTCCAGTGATAGATACTTAAGAGGGGGTAATCCAAGGACTATATAAAAGTAAATTAGCTAATTGTTTTGTAAAAAGCTAAATACTTTAAGTACAAAAATTAACTTTTGTCATTGCAAATACGTATACATTTTGTCATCATTAATAATAAAGTTAAATGCCTTTAAATATTCATTATCATATCGTAATTTAGGCCGAGCAACACTGCCATCTCGTGCCATTATCATGAAATAAAATAATGAAGTCGATGTATTGTCCAACCAGCTTTTTCTCCTTCAAAACTTAATATCCATGTCCATATTGTAACTTAGGTAGACAATTCTAAAATTAAAAGATATATTAGAAAATAAAACAACATATCTTATAGTTTTGAAAGTGGTTTACTGTGACAACATTATTCGTGTTAATAGTGTAAGCTGATTACCACGAATTTTGAAACTTTCTCACTAGAGCTAGTACTAGAACTAGATGGGTAGATCAACCGACCAAGTGCATTCGCACAATGAAATACGTTGGATTTTTAACAAAATTAAAAAGAAAGAGTTTTTGACTTTTGATTTCGATGAATTTTTTATCTTATATGTAATACCCAAATTCAAACGTTTCCGTAAAAAAATATGAATGAAATGCTCATAACTTTTTTAAAAACTGAGTATTCGAGATATTTTTTTTTAATTTGTTGTCTTTAAACGTCATATTCTATGAAAAATTCGACATATTTATATTTTTTTCGTTAAAAAAACTTAATTTATTCTGCATTTAATTCCCCAAATCCCATTGTGGGCTAATTAAATGTATATGTATTAACTTTTATGATTATTATATTGTTTTAAAATAAACTTTTATTCTGCTTTTTATGCCTTAAATCATATTGTGGGACAACTTCTATTAAATATAACTTTATAAAGTTCATTCATTTCTTAAAAAAGGTTAAAAAAAATAATTATTAACTTTACAGAGGATAGAATTCGGGTTTCTTTTTATGTTTATATATTGATTTCAATTTATTTATTATAAAACAATGTTAAATAGCGAAAAAATAAAAACTTATCGTTCAATAAAAATAAGTATAAAGTAAAGAGATTATTGCCACTAAAAGCAGAATAAATCATACTCTCTAAAAATGAATTAGTAAAAAATGTAACAGTTATTAGTGGCTGCTTTTTCACTTGTACCATGGTTAACCATGGAATACCATGGTATCCCAAAATTTAACAGCCAACAATTTTCCCCTGATTCCGAAAATATCGTCAAAAGTTAAAAAAGTACAACAGTTTTTAAGATATTTTCAATTTTCCATTTAATATGGAATTGACTATATCTCAAAAATTGCTCCACTTTCATAATTTTTGACGGTATTTTCGGATTCAGGGGACAATTTTACATAAGAAGTGGCTGTTAAAGTTTGGCATACCATGATATTTCATGGTTAACCATGGTACAAGTGAAAAAGCAGCCACTAATAACTATTAAATTAGTGTCATTTTTAGAGAGTAGATTTTTTAAAAAGAAAGAATAAAAAATGACAAACTGTTAATAATGTTTTTTCTAAAAAACTGAAAATTTTTAGTATTGTGCTTGTATTTTTTTCTGAAAAGTAAGTTTAAATACAAACTCAATATAAAAATTAAAAACATTTAGATTAGTCAGTTTTTGAAAAAGTTATAAGCATTTAAAACATATTTTTTGTCGGTGGGGTAGAAAAAAATAAAAAAATTCAGGAAAACGTTTTTAGTGGGATAGTATAAAATATATTGCCCTAAATTCATCTACGGTTTTGTACATTGCAATATACATAGTATACAGGGTGTTCCTAAATAATGTGCTAATAGGAAAAAGGTGATTCTAGAAGTGATTTTAAAAAGTAAATATTTGGTGTGCACCAAAAATTAAAATCAACTTTTAGAATCACATACTCTGTATAATGGATAACCAAATTAAAAAAAATCAAAACCCTAAAACTCTTAGTAGCTGTTCAATAACATTGAATCAAAAGGCAATTAAATGTTAAACTTCGAACGAAAAACAATTTATTCATTGTACTAAAATCTTCCGTGTAATATGCTTAAAAAGTTGCGCTGGTTGGATAAAAATGCGGGTAATTTCCCACCGTAACACGGATTTACCCGCATAGGGATATCGTGCTAGATTTAAGGTTCTTGTAGATTTCTTCTACTGTCCTAAATAGTTCTACTGTCTTAGTCGAGAATCTTGAAACTAGCGCTCCCTATTTTGTTATGCGATTTAATCTTTAATAAAAATAGATTACATCCATCAGTGTTTTAAGTATGTTATGGCAAATATTAAAATAAGCACAATAAGGTAATGTAATAACAGTTACGATGTATAGGTAGGTTAGTCACGGTTTTCATTTTTTTACTTAGATTTTTTGTTTGGGAGGTTTTGATGTAAATATTTTTGTCATAAGTTTAATAATTTTTAACTGGAATGATTGTAGTTCAAATATTTGCTTTAAAATTTACCTGTTTTCGTTATGATTATTTAAACAAAAAAAATGATGGGTTTGACTTTTGGTCATAATGTTAATGAAAAAAATCATGAACTGATTAATGCATTTAATTAATAATTGTAAGTTTCCAGTTGTCATCGAAACCTCACCCTATGTGTCACCTTACATATCTCATCCTAATATTATATCAAATTGCTTTTTATATATTAATGATAAATTATGAAAATATGGACTAGGAAAGATTCAAAATGTTAGAAAATACAATAAATGTTATTTACTCGTTAAGTAAGTCAGACACCGTCTGCAGTTAAATTTTTAGAGTCGCAAGGATTAATTAACCAAATGTTTAAACCATTCTAATATCTATATGTCATCTATATAAAGGTTAATAAATGATTGAGACTTGAAGTGTATAGGAAATTAGTCTACGTAGTTCTTTCTGTTGATAACTAATTTGATTTATGTTACGCTGTTGTAAAAACTTATTAAGACCGATGTATGAAAGTGTGAAAAGAAAGAGATTCAAAAAAGTTTTGTTTTATTTCAAAACACAAACACCTTTATGCCCCTTTGTTTGTAGAACAGAAAAACTTAATCCTAATTTACATTTTTTATTCAAAGATTTAAACATATTCAAAAGTTTAAATGTAAATTGAGTTTTTACTTGTCTGCAAAGATTTCAGTTACATAATGTCAACGAGGTCTTTTTTATTTCATTTTTATGTATTTTTTGTTTAATTAAAGCAGTTTTTAAAATATCTTGTATTAGAATTAGTAAAATTAGTATATTGTGCGACTAGTGAAAAAGGGGGGATTTCTCGAGCTTTTTATCAATAGTTGCACACAATATTTAATTCAACTACCGCAAGGAATTTAAAGCCAATTTTATTTATATTATCTGACATGAGTTGTGGATAAAATGTTGTATGCCGTGCGGCTTAGCTTGGCAAATCTAGCTAGAGATGTAGGAATGTACACGCCCATCGATGCGCAGATGCCAGCTCTTAAAATCGTCATTTGCATTGAGTTTGCCTTAGGCTAAAGAAGGCTCCGCACAGTTGATTAAAATGAAAGTAAATCAAATATAAAAAAAATTATTAATATTATTCTGTCAATTGGGTCGTTTTCAAAAAACACCCGCCTTCCGCTGTCCGTAAGTTTGAATTCCAATAACTTTGTTAAAAATTATCGGATCTTATTGATTTAACAACCAAGTGAAAGCCTAACAAGCCCTTAGTAAACTCTTTCAGAAAACGTTTGTTTAGATATTTCAGAATTATTTTTTTTTAATTTTGAAACTTGTGAAACACACATTTTCGCATGTCCCATTAGCGTTTTATAAAACTTACAATGTAAGTTTTATAAAAGCAACACAAAGTTCTGGTTATTTATTATTTAAAAAAAACATGTATGTAAGTCTTACATACATGTTTTTTTTAAATAATAAATAACCAGAACTTTGTGTTGCTTTATAGCAATCCATAACATCCTTAGTTAATACAGTAAACAATTTATATATAACATAATTTATTTTAATCTGCTTCTTTAAATTTGACTCATGTCCCAGACATTTTTTCTGTTGTGTTACGTCCGTCACGTTACCGATAGAATATTAAAAAAAAACATGTATATGGCAACTTTTTTGGCACTCACGTGACCAACAAATAATGTTCGGACGTACACATTACCCAGCTGAATTTATTTATTCAATCAGGAAGAAGATATCGGTTGAAACAGGTGCGGGTAACGCGAATGTAATAATTGTTTGTCCGTTAAGTTATTAAAAAAATTAATAAAAATAAGGTAAGAAAAAATACTATTTTTCATGTTTATGTTTATTTTAGGACACTAAAGCTCATTGAGAGTAATTAATAACTGTAATGTCTTATTAATATTTTTTAAATATGGTTTCACAAAACTTTTTCCACTGCGTTACCGAGTCCATTATGTTACCTTATGGTAACGCAATGGAATTTAGAGTAACGCAATAGAATTTTTCGACAACAAAGTGGATATTAAACCGTCGCTTTTATTAAAAGTAGTTTATGATAAACCAATTTAAAATTATTTGTGATTACAACTCATGATATAGATTACATCCAAGGAAAAATTCCACGCAATATACAAGTACTAAAAGGGACGAAAGACCTTCACCAGCTTATATTAAAAAAAAATGGTGTCTTCAAATTAGAAATCTAAGTTGTTATTCTGCAAGTGAGCACGACTACAAGGGATTTTGTTTATGCATTACTCTAAAATCGTACCACCCTATATAGTTTCTTTTTTAAGTTATCTGATTAAGACCCCAGTCCGTTGTGATATCAATGTCTATTTCGTTACTTTTTTTAGTTTTTGTTAAAAAAAATACTTAAAATGATTTTTATACACTATTACTTGGTAAAACGTGTTAATAAATTAGAGTTTAACTCACTAATGCAGTGACTAAAAGAAAATATTAATGGTATTGTTTTTTTAACAAAGAATCGGAATGGTTTCTTTTAAAAGTAACTCAACGAACATAAATATTTAAAAAAAGCATACAATTTTTAATAAAAAATAAAATAAAAAATTGCAGTCAAAAGTTTGTGAACTAAGTACAGTTTATTTCAAATTATTTTTATAACAACTTTTTTTATTGAATTAAATTTTGGATTTCAAAAAGTGCAGTGCCTGTCTTAAATGTAAGTAAACAAAACTCTACACATTTATAAAAATCCAACCAAAAGTCAATTTAAGCAAAAAAAAAATTTGATCTTCATTTCCCTGAAAGCGGGTGTTTCTTAAAATGTCAAAATAATTGTTTTAAAGTAGCAATTTTTTAAATAGCGATTAAGATAAAAATGTTTAATGTTCATTATCCTTTTTAATTAAATTATAATTTATATTATCGGAATTAAAATTTAATGAGAAAATATAAAAAATGTCAAAACGTCAGGGTATGCAATGCATTTGCACTTTCATTGTATGCACGCCACTGTATATTTCCACACGCTGCGGGTAGATTTTTTTTTAATTAAACAAAATATACAACAAAATATCAAAATCCAAGGTTTTGTTGGATTAAAACTAAAATAATTACTTTTAATTCAAATACCTATTTATTTTATCTGATTCACCTTTACCAATTTTTTATTTGGATAGCGTGGTAAATGTTGTCCATAAGGATAATATCTCTTTGGTCATGAGCATGTAAAGAAGCCCTAAAACGACGTTCTTTTCACACATATTGAAAGAAAATAAAAGTCTTTATCCTTCATCTCTATCCTCATCGTTTATTTAATGAAATATATCAGTGCTGGGAGTAAATTGGTTTGTCGGTACTAATATCTTTAATAGGAGTTTTTACCGTTCGGAGACCAATATCCTTGCCAGAGCGGACTGAAAGAAAACGTCGGAAACAGGAAATGGAAGCCGCAAGATAAAATAGTGAAAAAGGGACGGACCCGAAAAGAGAAAAGTACACTTAAACTACTGAAAAGGACGAATGATAAATTAGTTTTCACTTAATTGCCAAGAAATTAGTAAGAAATCAGGGAGCATTGTCCATGTACTTGAGGGTAATCGAAATTTAAGTTTATTACTTCTTGAAGAAAATGGCATTGAATGCAGAAATGTAAAACTGTATTTTGTACAGAAAAAAATATGTATTTGTATTAAACCTTCCTTGAAAATAAACATTTTTCAAAAATGGCGAATGCGCCGGGATTATTATGTTTTAAAATTTTCCGGTTTATTCTCAAAAACACTCGTTTGTATCATAAGCGTTTGACAGCTGATTATTAAAAGTTATACTTTTGTTACGATTATAATTATCCTCTTATATATGCCTGCAAGACAATTATCGCTTGATTACAGCGATAACTGTCTACTAGGAATCGATAATTCCATTGTATCTACGTATCCATGGCAATTAATAAAAATAACGTCAGTTTTTATTTTAATGTGACAGTTATTTAAAATGTCACGTTTTGGTAAAGAATCATTTAAATCAATTACACTATGTAACATGATATTTGTTTATCTGGATTTTATTACACAAATCGTAGTAGGCCATGCCCCCAATTACGTAACATACATTTGTTTTTTCAAACTGTCAAATTTTCAACGACAGCCGTCAGATCTTGTTGATGGCTTTGAGTGTCATTAGGGGACATCCATTAATTATGTGAGGCATTTTTCTGATAATTTAGACCCCTCCCTCCCCCTTGGTAAGATTTGGTGAGATGTGGTAGACCCCCCCTATCCCTCACGTAAGATTTTGGCCATTAATCTTTCTTTGTGGACAACATGTAAAAAAAATGAATAATTTTTTTTAACAAAATTGGATTATAATACATATTTTTTAAACTCAAAAGAGATTTTAAATGAAAGGTTTCCTGGGTAACCACAAAAGAGAAAATTATACTGACCTTGTCAAAGTTTTATTAGGAAGTTTTAAAAAAATGGGATGCCGCATGTCGTTGAAAGTACCTACACTATTTGCATTCGCATCTTGACTTTTTCCATGAAAATCTGGGAGATGTCATCGAAGAACATGAAGAAAGATTCCATCAAGATATTCGGGCAATGGAAAAGTGATAACAAGGAAGGTGGGATGCGACAATGATGTTTGGAATCGACTTCGGGAAGAAAATCATATAAAAGAAAAAGTCGTATTAAAATTCATTTTTAGCCAAGATTTAAAATCTATGTTAAGAAAATATTTTTCTAGATTGTATGTTTTGTTAAAATATTAATTCTGAGTTGAATTTCTTGCCATTTCTTGTTAATATTTTTTTTGTTTTTGATAAAACTGGGTTTGATTATATTATATAAATACCCCTTAAAAAAATAAAAACTTATCACTAAATTTTTAAAATTAAGTTAGAATAGTTTTTTGGCATACAAATATTGATAAACAAAACAAAATCAAATTTTGTTACATAGTGTTATATAATATTGTTAAATGAAGTTTTGTGTTAAAATTAAAGTACCTATTTGAAAATGTTATTCTTTGAGTTTTAATTAGTTTATTCGTGTAATTATCTAAACAAATTACATTTGTGCATAAAAATAATCAGATAATTTTGCCTTCAAGCATATTGCCTTTTAAAAAATGCATTCGGTCATTTTCATATTTTGAGGAAAAATATGAAAAGGAACTCGTGCATTTTTTAGGCAATATGCTTTTAAGCAAAATTATCGATAATTTTTAAGCACTTGTGTAATTAAACCCGATAACAACCGAGTGGTGGCGCTACTAGCGATACTTCTTTAGCGTATTTGAAAAAAAATTGTAGACCACTTACCTCGACCGAGCATGGTTATGTTTAACGTTAGTTTTTACACTAAGAATTATTTATTTTTTATAGAATAGTTAAAAAGTATTCTATAGATACCTTTAATGACACCTTCTATTCAATAAAATTTAGTAAATTAAGTCTTGTTGAAATACTGTAGTGCCCCACTTTAATTAAGGCAAACGCTATTTTAAAAGGTGTCATTTCAATACACAGAACATTTTCCTAGTCAATATTAGGTAGA